TCGCTCAAGTGGCTTCATAATTTCGGAATGAAGAACGTCCCCGAATGACGATGATGACATGAATTGTGACGATGATGACATGAATTGTCATTCGGTGGTTCAGTTATGGATTTGACGCAAGTCGTACTCCATAGTTCTCCTACATGTGTTCGGGTTGTACCTCGTAATGCCCGGCATAATGTCTGATGTTTCACTCCCAAGTGTTGGGAGCTTATTCAGGAAACGATCCTGTAGCTCCCCCGGTTCAATAGTGTTGCTGCTGTCGTTTGCTGCTTCTGATTGGCTCAGCTTTCCTGCGCAGGCCAGGCTGCTTTTTTTTGGCTTCGTCTGGGAGGAAAGGGTACTAGTTAACAAGGCTGAATTACGTGAAACAATAACACATTCACGTAGCAGTTATCTGCCACAGAGCTTAGCTCATCTCGCCACTGTGTGTTTGTCAGCTATTTTCAATTTCACGTGGCCGACAGAAATTTTAACTTGGCAGATGTCCAGTGGTGTTGGCTGGATATTGTCACATTGACCCGATCCCCCCGAAGATACCTAGCCACTGGGACACACGCGTCTGCCGATGCTTAAGTGACACACATCATCTCCAGCCCTCACTCTTTTCTCCCAGCTTGCCCAGCCTTTATTTGTGCGTTACACATATCGATTTCCATCCACCCAATTGGTCGGCACTGTGGTGGAGCACAGGACTCATGATGAGAAGGTCATGGAATCGAATTGGCTCTCGGTTCCTACTCAGTGGGAAAATGGGTACCGCTTTTTGAGAAGATAACAGTGGTGGTCTTGGCGAAAGCGTGGCTCTTTTCTGGCTCTCGTCATGTGTCCTGATGGTGCCAATAGTTAGACCGCTGAGACACTATCGAAAGACTTTGAATTCGGCACGCACCGAATTTATTTACGTGTTTCAGCAGTAAAAGTCGGCCCGAGTTCAATGTAATGTCTGCAAAACGTATTTAAAAGTCTGGGCGATTATAATATATTCAGTCCCAGTCAATTTGAAAGTACCACGTTTGAGTGTGGTGCTTTGGACTAAACGAAGCGATGCATGTTTACGTTCTCAGACCCCCCCCCCACCATGGACAAACAACCCAGTTATCGCATTCAACTAAAATCCCTCATTAAGAATGTGTACTTCAATTGCAGGAATAGTGTAACAGACCAACCAACTTGTTGTTTAGCGAAAAAAAGTATGCAAATGAATTTAGAAAGCAAGCTTATTTAATATACGTTTTCGTGAATTATATCGAGTGCCATTTACGCAGCTTTTGAGACAAAACCATTATCAACCATTTGGATTGCCTTCATAAAAATGAAATGACCAATTTGTAGATCAAACGTTTAGTGTGTTTGCAGTATATTATTTCAACCTTTGTGAGTAATATAAAGTAATTTACAGGATGATTTTATTTTTAAAATCACCGCGAAATGTTATTTAATGATTACAGTGCCTGCTAGCATATTAAACAAATAAATTAATACTTCAAGCATTCAGCTATAACTTACTATGAAATTACCAAACAAATGTTTTCTTTCAGTCTTTAAAATAAACAATACACGGAATGCAATGTTTGTATGAAGAGCTAACACTGTGTACTTGCATAGAAACGAGTTCATGTGAACACTTAGTTGGTACATTTTTTGTTATTGAAATCAAAAACAGATTTGCATCATGTAACACCCAATGTGCTATTTTACAAAAAAATTAAGCACTTAATATTCAAGGCACTGTGACGATTTTTTTACAGTTATGAATAGTGAGTGAAATTATTTCACATTAGTATCCAACAAATCAATGTGGGTACATCAAATATTTACATCGACCTATCTTGATATCGCTCCAGTTGTGGAATTAGCACGGTGGGCTACGTATGGTGCGAAAAAAGTTCAGTTCAGTTCAACATATCAGCTCGTATTGCGCTCAATTAAAGACATCACGTGAGCATTGTGCAGATTTTTGACCAATTACTTACTCGAGAAGAATTTGGAAAAACATTCCTGGAAAAAAACGTTTAGGACTCCAGAGGCTTTGTTAGAGATCCTGTGACGCTATTGGAGAGAGAGTAGGCCATGTGTGCCAGTGTCACCGTTACGTTTGAACAATTACCTGCACATTACATACCTATGGTTAAAACGGATCGAGTGTTGCCTCACTGGCCCTACTGGCACACGGTAACTGCCAGTAACAATATAGCACTTTTGTGGTAGCCTTGCGCTATGAAGATGGTGCGAACACCAATTCTACCAAACTCGTGTTATCGTTATTGCCAATAGCCTTAGTGAAAATTCAGGCTTTCAGGGCAAGGTGGGACTTGTTATTCATGGGAGGCTAAGAGAGAATCACCACTGCACTGCACGTAACCCACATTGATGGGCTTTTGTCAACGAAACACAATGACTTGTCATCCCACCTATGCCATTCTGCACACAACCCTTCATTGGTCTGAGCCACTTTGGCAGATCTCTCGCATATCTCCTCGGTAATGGATAAAGGGTCAGCCCTGGATTGTCTTGATTACGCCACTGCTGGCAGAAGGGATCCGAATAGAGAGAGCTCTAGAGAGATCCGATAGATTGGTGCCACAATGGCCAGACGTATTGGAAGAGGTGAGAGTATCCACCACTTGACCCCACCACACGCAACCTGCCCGGCGGATGACTCTGGTTGAATCCATGTACACTGGGAGATCGAACCGGCGACTCCTGCATTTCAAATTGAGTGTGTGGACCGTTACACCACAGAAGCATCCCTGCTAAGTTCTGCGATATTACTTTAAATCAGAGGGGAAATTGGTGAAATTGGCAGATTTCTGATCAAAATGCAACAATGTTAATGCAGTAGAAAAATCAATTATATGAAAAGCACTTTAATAAATGAAGTTTCACTCTAAATGTTTGAGTGACTTTCAATCCTGCGTTGTGATTACTGCGTAATAGCTGAAATTTCCTGTAACAGTGTTAACTCTTGGATAAGCATTTCAATCATTGCATGATTGTCCAGGTACATCCTCCCCACATTACTTGATACATTTTTTTATCTGGTCTAACGTTGAAAATTTTCAAGCCCTGTGTGAGCAGTGGTCAGAAGTGAATATTTCATGGATTTATATTTGTAATTATAATAATATTTTGATTGTGATTACAACACTGTACAATAACACATGTGCAATGTTAAAAAAATGCTAATTTATTTCAGTGGAGAGTGGCATCTTGGTGATTGTTGCTGGGCCTATAGCTGCATGATTTCATAGACATTGCACATTTGTTAAGGAAGTAAATGCTCATTTATGGTTAATTGTATTGCAGTTACACTGTAATTACTGTCTTAGAAGGTTAGCGAAAATTGCAGTTTATTAAAAAAACTTTAGTTCGTTCGTATGTTTATATAAAATCTTGACTTAAAGCTTTCGTGACTGCAGTAATTCATATCCTTTGGGTCTTTCGGTAAAGTCACGTACTGTAGATAGGTTAAAAGAAAATAACAAAAAATGACGACGTTTCGATCACAACACAAGCGATCGTCGTCAGGAGGAGAAAAGAGGAAAGCTGCTGAGGCAGACTGTTTTAAAGGTTCAAAATGGATGTAGCCCAAGGGTCATCAACGAAGTGGGCGGGGCTAGTGATGTTAATGTGAGAAATTAGCATGATTAAACCCGTTTCTTGAGCACAGTGAGTTGATGGTATGAGTGGTCACTGACCTCATTTTTGACCAGGATAGGGCATATTCAACAGAACATGGAAACAGTGTCCCTATAATAAGAGTGTAGAAGTAAGTCTCCAATGCCAATCCTGCAGCTGTTTTCTGCCACAAGCTATCGTGTGTAGGCCGAGTTTCTTTTGCTCCGTACATAGCTAACCATGCTAATCGGAGGTGTGGGGAAGGACAACAAGCTAAACACTAAAAGCGATTCTCATGAAATCAGTTATCAATCGAGATTTTAAAGTGTATAGCTCCCAGTTGCTTCCTAATATCGCGCGACTCACTGTGATAAATGCTTCATGCTTCATATTATGACATACAACCAATAAAGAATCGCAGTGTACATGTAAAAACCAAACTACCATATTTATCATGACATGAATGAGTTAAAGTTTATTTGTTTCACCAACCGAGAACTAAAGAGATCAGGGTCGTATAATTTTTAAGAGTGGGTCAGTTATTTTGTTTGGAAGATTTTGTTATTCATCATAGAAGTTTTTGGGTTACATCGCATAAATATAAATGTTTTTTTGGGTTAGATCATGTAAATATATAAATGTGTCGTTAAACCCGCCACCACCCACCACAGCCACTTAGTAACGTTTGTCACGTAAACAGAACATGCAAATTCGTTATTAGTACAGCATACCAGTGTCTTGGAGACCAAATCCACAACATTTACAATCTGAGTACAACGTTTCGCCAGTAATTACAACTAGCATCATCAGGTGACAGCCAGAGTTGTGGAGAAATTACTCCTGTTTGGGTCTTAAATACTCATATTCACGCGATCTAACCCAAAAACCTCTATTATGGGATAATGCTAGTCGTGAAAGCCTACTACTACTATGAGGTGTTAAAGGTTTTGTTAAGTGTACTCCCCCCCTGCCCCCTCTTCTTTTTCCTTTTGCTCCTCTTCCCCTTGCCTGCCCTTTCCCGTATAACAACCCAACCGCTACCCGCTGCTCGCAGTCCCTGCCTACGTGAGTGGGGCAAGTGAGCCCAATATCGCCCCACCCCTTCCCAGGACTCAGGAATACTGAGTTCAGACTTTGGTCCATTGAATTTCTGTACCCCCCCCCCCCCCGGCCCTTGTTAAGTTCGTGCCTTTTACCGGGCTCTTGTCACATTTTTAAAAATAAGAATAAGAAAACTAATTTTTTAATAGCACATAAGTGCATTTTCAGAGATATAATGATAAGTAACAAATAACATTGGTAGAATATAACAACGTAAACAAATAAGAGTGACCCAGTGAATGTTCTCATTTGAAGACGATCACTTGAACTTCCCACAGGCACTACCTGTCACCCGCGTCGGGGTTCCAGAGTTTGCAGTTCCGCATGCTCGAGAACAAGATTGGCGTTCCGGACAGCCTGCGCGTGCCGTACAACAAGCGCCACTACCGCGACAGCTTCCGGGGAGAGGAGTTTGAGAAGCTGCGCTTGTCGGAAATCGAGCCCACGCTCCTGCAGCTCGTTCAGGTGAAGGGGGCTCAAAACTACTAATGGCCTTCGTATTTTTTTTACTGTCGGTGCAGCAAATGCTTGGCACCTTCAAATTCACCGGCGTCGTCGTTGAAAAAAAAGTAGCACAAACGTTTCGGCACTGTTCAATTCGAGTTTCACGGTAGAAGCGTGTCGGTGGGTGCCTACGTAACCAGGATTGACATTGAATGCTAAAAGCCCAGCGTTTAAACGCTTCTCGCCTGTGTACGTGTATTTGCATGTGCGTGTGCATATGTACGTACTGGGGAGTGATAGTATTAGGGGTTAGCGCGCTGCGCTACGAACCCGGCGACCCGAGTTTGATTCCCGCTCATGTCCAACACCAGTGATGCTTATCTGAACCGCTCCTGGGCCTCTCCTAGGTCGACTCAGCTGCGGCAGAGCACTACACTCACAATTCGACAGTTATGAGTTAAAATACAGTTGTTGAATGACTGAGCCCATCGTTGTATTTACTGTATGTTGAACTTCTTTCACACCGTACGTAGCCAACCGCGCTAATTGGAGGTGCGGGGGAAGGACAACAAACTGAACACAAAAAGGAGTGCTAAAGAAATTAGTTTTCAACCTAAACTATTTAAAAATGCACAGCTTCAGCGGTTTTCTGATATCGGAAGGAAGAGCGTTCAAGACGGCCACAGGAAGGCATCTGAAAGAGCCGCAGGATTCGGTGGCCATCTTTGTTTATTACTCTGAGGTTGATCAAATCCGGTACCTATTTTGTGAGAAGCCAATAGCGAGACGCCCCATTGTAGACACCTCCTCATATAAGCATGGAGGGATTTTTACTCTAACAAAAAAAGGATGACCGCTGTGGATACAGAATAACTCAATCAATTAATGTAACGGGGCGAAAATTATGCCACCATTAGAATATTACGAGCGATGGCGATGAAGTGCATTAGATGTAACTCAAGAGCTGATAACCGAAGTAGGATGATAAAGAACTGCTATTGTGTAGTGACATTTCCACAAGTGTTTTTTTTGTGCATTGTAAGACTGTTTTTTATTTTCATTAAAACATGATTGTGGGCTCTTAATAAAATTCACGTCACCAGCACTTGCTCTCATGTGCTGCATTCTGTAAAATAATGTTTCAGGTCAAATCAAATATCAAGGGAAATTTTACAGGAATGTATAACCAATTACAGTTGTTAATGGCCCACATAATAGCGTGAATTTCTTGGATGATTCTCTTAGGCAAATGCAGACATAGTTTTCTACACTTGCTAGTGTTCAACATACTTCACATGCTTCTATTAAAAGCCACACTTTGGCTAGAAAAATAATGCTTTAACTCTCTCATGCATGAATAATTTAAAGCAAAATAATGTTTCATGGTTTAATATGATTTCAGTAAAAGGAACTCTGAAATATTTTTAATAAAAAAAAAACTAATTTTTCACATAATTCGTGTTCACTATAAGTGTGTCAGCAAGGACTGCATACATTTTGCCTCCATATTCAAAAGTTTTTTTTTTATTGTTGTCAACAATTGTGATTAATTTGTGTTCTTTTCAGGAGTGGCTGGAGAGGACCCCAGGTTTGGAGGCGGGCGGCTTCAACTTCTGGGAGAAGCTGAAGAAAAGTGTCTTTGAAAGGTTGGAGGAAGAGGCTTGCAAGGCCAAGGTGGGGACCTCTCTTCTGTTTTGTTTTGCTTGAGAAAGCCACTCACTCACGAGATGCGTGCCCAGCACAGGGTCATAGCAGCCTTCTGCTGTGCAAGGAACTTCACTCGAAGCTCCAGGATCTACCTTGGCCTGTAGCAGACATAACAGCAGCAGCCTGTGGCTTCTGCGCCCATGTGTGGTAAGATGTTAACTACCTCACCTGGTATACAGGTGGTTGTGGGTTCGATCCCGACCTTGATGCCTGTATATTTGGAGTTTACATGTTCTTCCCGTGATTGTGTGGATTTTTCTTCAGGTCCTCCGGTTTTTCCCTCTGCTGTAAATGTCCACGTGATATGCCACTTCTTTGCGCTATCAGTTGTGGCCAGGTCGCTTCTGAAAAAGAGCTTTGTTGCTCAGTGGACCCTACTTGATAGTTTATAGTTTGAGTTTATGCGAGAGCCGTGTCCAGTCGCTTCCCCCAGTTCTCGTGCCGCGTCGTCAGGTCGCGGACACAGAGGTAGAGGGGGTGGCGTGAGCCGGCGTGTTGACGACCGTCCATCTGGCGCCGTCCGAACAGAGCCGCCGGGCACCCCCGCGGGTCTTGGGCCGGCGCATTATGCCCAGACTGGTCGCAATTTCTCTTTTTGTCGCTCGTAAAGCAGGACGCCAGCGGACGCCGAGGATGCGATGCTTGAGACAGTGGGGTCGGAGTCGCCATCCCGTGCACTCTGCATACATTCCCACTTTGTGACGAGTACAGTTTGTTTCAACAAAAGCACGAGGCGTGCACTTTGCTAGACGCTGTGCTCAAGGTTATAATGAATATGGAGGTTTAAAAATGTCAAAATAACCAATGCAAATGTATGCAGTAATGATTCAACAGCGGTCAAAATTCAGGGTGACTCGTGTGATAACTGTTTTACGTCATGGGAAGAGATGGCTGCTGTGTGGTCTGAAACTGCTACATAAATCCATGTTTGGGGACACAACAGTGAGACTTATGATGTCATTCGAGTAATCTCAAAAAGAATGCATCTTACATTTCATATCACAACAGCTGTACAGTGTTTAGTGTCCCAACAATGTTTTAAATCAGACGCTGTCGCCTCGACAGACCTGGTTTTCACCTGAGGACGGCTACTTGCGTTGTGGCCGAAACGTCGTGAGAATCATTTTATTATGTTTCATTTTTATTATTTTATTACTTCCCTTCTACGTGACTTTACCGAAAGAACCAAGAAGGAGTAATGCAGTGTTTGGAAATAAATTTAGAAGCAGAAGGAGGAGCTGTGGATTAGTAAACACCTGCAGGTTAAAGACTTAATTTTGGCTGAAGTAAAGAGGGCTTGTGCAGGACATGTTTTAAAATGGGGTTTTAGAAGGGATGACAGCCAGCGTATGAGAATTAAAATTTAATGTCAGCCCTTGGGGATGGAGAGAATAAATTCGCATTTGTATGTATGTTGAACTTCTTTCGCACCGTATGTAGCTAACTGTGCTTATCGGAGGTGCGGGGAAAGGCAATAAGCTAAACATACATAGTACTTCTAAAGAAATCCATAGCTCCAGTGGCTTCTTGATATCTGCCACAGAAGCGTGTATGCGCGATGCAGTGACTGTCTTTGTTCGATGGTTAGCCAAAGGATGACCGGAGTACGTGCGATGGTTTATGTTCCTTGACGAGATCAGCAAGGCATTGTGATTCAGGTGTGGCAAGAACTTCGTGTGTAATGAGTGCGACCTTATGTATCGTTTGGCAACCAGAGGCTAAAGCAGCCCGGCTAGCAAGCAGATGGAGTATGGGACCTTTCTTGCTATATTCAAATACAACAATAGGTTTTACCCTTTCTGGCAATAAAATAGGTGTCAAGATGTTAAAACACCAAACATAGTCTTTATTCAAGGAATCATGTCTGCATTAACCACACGTACTTATGGTGAACATGCAAACAAAAAATATGCTCTGATTATATATGGATTGTCTTTGAAACTGATTGGCCTACACCAGACAGCCTTCTTTATGGCCGAGTTTATCCGACCAGAAAACAACGCCAATGTCAGACCAGAACACAACGCCAAAAGGTGAACAGTACAAAGACAATACACGTAGTTGCTCAACCGGAGCTCTCAATGGCCTGATAGTGCATTGTCGTTGTGCTGTTCGCCCTTTGACGTTCTCTGGTCGAACACTTTGAGACGAGGCTAAAAAAAGCTGTCTCTGGTGTGGACCAATCAGTTTCAAAGACGATGCAATATATTATCAGAGCATTTCTTTTTGCATGTTCACCACAAGTACGTGTGGTTAATGCAGACAGGATTCCTTGAAGAAGGATTCTGTTTGGTGTTTTAACATCTTGACACCTCCTGTTTTATTGTCTGAAAGGATTAAACCTGTTGTTATAAGGAGATGGAGTGATGGAATTTAGTCTGTGTGCAGATGCCGGGTGGATTGTTTACTTAAAACCCGAAGAGAAGCCTGTTTAGGGGATCCAACTGGCGACCTCTGCATTGCAAGTCCAGCATGCAAACCCTTACCTATTGCGGCAGCGTCCCTCCTGTGTGCTTACATCCCTTAACTACAAACTCGTTAATTTGTCTTGCTCTGTGCCCTTTTGAATGCACTAACAGCAGTGCTAGTGAGATGGTGTCAGCACGTGGCATTGTAGTAAACATTAGTGAGTAAATGCTGAAGTGGCCAAACTGACGGAAAAAAAGGAGTGTTGATGTTTATTATGTTTGATAAAGAGGTGACGCATGACCCATTAGGAATGACATCGCTGAGGGCTCTTAAAGAGTTTGTCTTCCATTTTATCCTTCTGTGAAATTAAGAAAGGAACAATGAGTATGCAGGATGCAATGTGCCAACTCGAAAACCGTCACAAGTGCATTGATGATGTACATTTCCTAATTCCGAGAAGGCATACTCATACCCTTTTTTATTAGCCATTAAGTTTGTCTAAATTATTTTTAGACATTTGTTTGATCAGAAAAAAAACATCGCTGGATCTCAATACACTTCTTCAGGATGGTGTAATTATATATATTTTTAATAAAGGGCCATTATCCCCATTTGTTTAACAAATTAAGTAATTTGCGAGTAATTTTTTGTTCAAATTAAGACCATAGTTTTGGCATACATGGCCTAATTTTATTCAAACCATGTCGTAAGGCCTTTAACGTCCACCACCGTGCAGAAGCCAATATTTGCACTAAATACATGGCAGGATTAACCAGGGTGGCCCCGGGGTCTTGAACCACAAATCTTTGCAACGAGAGGCAACAATCTACCACCGGCCCTGTAAAGTTATTTTAAGACATATTACGAAATGTCTAGCTTGGAATGCATTATATTTCCCAATTGCATAAGATGTATTTAGTATGTCAGAACTCCTCACATCCGTGACACTTGGGGGAGGACATCTTAGCACCTTTGCAGATGAATCCTCATTAACTTGTGAATTGAAGCGGACAGTATAATACCAGGAGTGCACCCCATCTCATTAGATGTCAGCAGCTAAGCCGGGTTGAGCCTTGATAGTGCTCAGATGGGCAACTACTACCATGCAATAAACAGGTGCTATAGGCTGCCACGGGCCAATGTTGTCACAGAGTGCAATGCGGTAAAAGCCATTGCTAAAGCGTACTCTGTTCAAACGTTTCCTTCACTAACTCACACTGAGTTGTATGGGGAAGTATGATCAAATGATCCCCATAGTGGACTGACAAAAAGGGCTGTACATGTACATACATACATGGACATTGTACCACAGCTGTTTTCATGGATACCAGGATAGCAGCCTCACTCGGTACTGTGCAGGAAAGAGGCAACGTGCTATACCTCGCTGCTGTGGTAGAATCAATTGTGAGTGGAATAGTGGTGAAGATGACACCTCCAACATAATTAAACATTATTACACATGATGATGACGATCATGATGATCATCATCATCGTCCTCATCAAACTCTGAATCTGCTCTCAAAGCATTTGAGATGTATCACAATCATCAGCCATTGTCCATCCACTGCTGGATGAAAGCTCTCCCCATGCCAAAGCAATCACTCATGGACCTGCAAAGCCACAATCCATACACTCCTGCACACATAGCCTGATAACATGGCTCCTATCTCCACAGTGGTAATCCGCTTCATTGGCTGCAGTTTCATTACTGGTCTCGTCCGTGAGTTTGTATGTATGTATGATATGCAGTGTTGTGATTAGCGCACTGCACTTTGAACCGAGTTGCCAGAGATCAATTCCCATCTACGGCTAACATCGGTGGTGATTATTTGAAATGGTCGTGGGCTTTCCGCTAGGCTGATTTAGCTTTACATTAGTATTTAGAGCGGTGTGTAAACGTCAGCACCGGGGAGACAAAGGCAGACAGGCGTGGATCTGGCCACACCACCTCCCATTGTGTGCCGTTCCGGCCTTCATAGGTGCTACTCGCTAAAAGCACTTGCCCAAAGAGCCTGTATAAGCTACATGGGGATCATTGCCTTTATATATGTTTTATTTATCTGTAAATTAGATGTATAGCGCTGGTTAAAAATATAATGCCTTAAAGCGAGTTTAACGTTTCTATATTTGAGTACAAATTGCATTTTAATTATTTCATTTTACAGGGTTAGCTTTTCATAACTGTAATATTTATTTCTAGTTGGAGATTTTCATTTGATTGTTTCTGAAGTAAACGCATAATTCGGTGTGCTGTGTTAACAAGTTGTTGAAAAGCCACATCCCAATTGCAGCGACCATGTGATTAATCAGACTCTGTTTCAGTCAACTTCTCATGGAACGTCAGATGGATGAGCAAAACATGGCCAGGGAAGCCTCACCGAGCCTCATGACTTTTTTTCAGAAGGATCCTGCTAAGTTTTCACAGTAGGGGAGCGATGGTTGCTATGCAGATTCAAATTGAGGAATATGTGGGTGATATGCCATATGAACTCACAAACTCATTATTGGGTGGCCATATGTTTTGCAAAAGAGTTGTATGCTGGCCAATTCAATGCCAC